GGATTCAGGACTTCAGGGCCTCGCTGGAGATGCAAATGCCTCAGTTTGAATATAGCGAAGGAACGAACAGAAATAAACAGTATTGGTCCTATAAGGTACTCCCTTCCTGAGTCAGTTTATACAAGCTGAGATTTCTGTTCCCCACTTTGAGAGAAAAAGAGAGAGAGTTCAGAATACAGGCTCTTGAGAGTCGTTTCGTTGGTGGGGAATGTTGGGGGATTTTTTTGTCTTGTTTTTGTTGTGGTTGGTGTTTTTGCCTGGTTAACTTATTTCTTCAATTCCCTATGTGAAAAGTTCTGGAAACGTTGCAATACACTTGTAGAAGAAATCAACTGGTAGGATATGGTGTCTCTTGGTACAATTTCCATTGCTCCAAAATCGTTTTGTGGTGTGAGAAGAGCAGTCTTCACAAGAACTTTTTCCACCTGTGTAACACCGGATTGCCTTTGGAGAACTTAACTTGGTTGGAATCAGAATTACCATGACACAGGACCAAGTTAAGCTGTGGTAATGTCAGAACATCTGTGTTTATGCTTTGTAGTGTTTTGGCCAACAACCACTTTCTTTCAGTGCTACTGTCAAACCCGTTTCAGTTAAGCTTTGTGGTTTTTTGGCTGCCCTGCATGTACTAGGCTGCTGGAGACTTACTCTGCCTTCCAAACTGATTTTTGCACTTTCTGTTCTTCCAAGAGAGGAAGATGTGGTAGATGGTCCTGTCTGAGCACAGAAGTCGCATCACGTATGAAGAATTTGCTGTGGTGGTGGGCGATAACTCTGTAGCAGAGTGCCACAAGCAGCCAGTCAGGAATTTAAGGTATGCTCTCTTCTCTGCAAATTACAATTTTTAAAGTGTCTTATAATAAGGACCTTTTCAATTTCTAGTCTAAACTATATCTGTCATTACTGTAACTACAGAGAAATCTGTAGTTTTCTTCATTTTCCCCCGCAGATCAATATTTAAAAGAGAATTAATGAATCCAAATCACTGTGCTGCTATGCTGCATGAACATTTAGTGGTCAAGTGTTCCTTCCTGATTAAGTACCTACAGACAGTGTGACTGAGAAAGGCATTGTTCCTAAAGCTTTGGCACCTCTACAGTGTTTTTATAAGAATAAAGATGATTCTGATAAATGCCAGAAGGGATTTGCTGGCTGCTGGAGTTAGACAGTTGTGTGGTGCAGAATTTTCTTTTGATATCAGCGTGGTGTTAAAGTGGCTCACTGCTTTGCAAACTTGAAATACCAATCAAACAGCTGTGATGGCTTTCTATTTACATAAAGTGAAAAAGACAGGAAACTCGGAGAGCTTGGGGAAGATACCCACTGGGTGAGAAGGATCATGTTTGATTTATTATTATTTTAATTGCCTAATGGTGCCAAGGGAGAGTCTAATTAAAGTCTCTGGAGATGTCTTCAAAGGGGGAAAGATAAATATTGGAAAATGTTATTTATAGCCTTTAGTGTTTCTTCTCACCCATATAAATACAAAAATGAAACACAAGGGCTGGTCACATCTTCTGAAGCTTCCTCTTTACATAAGCAAAGTCAAAGACGGAGTCAAACACAGCTGCCCAGAAAATAATGGCGATGGAAGGACTTGGTAATGGCAGTGGTGCCTCCACCCCAGTACGTCCTGGTCCCTGTGTTCCCATGTCGAGCCTGGCAGAACATGAACATAGGGTGGACTCCTGTCAGGCCGTCATGTAGTCTTTAATGGGCCACTGAATTGTGCCAGCATGTAGTTCTGAATTGTGTTTCGATTTGGAATGATGTTTTCTGGCAAAAAAAAAAAAAGAAACGTAAATGGCGTAGGCAACAGTCAGATGCAAGGCAGATGAAGCATTTTCTTCTTTCAGCTGCTTGCCAGTTCCCCCTCTTTATGACTTACCGCCCTCCTGATCTGGTAATATGACTGCATATTTAATTGCTCTGTAATGAAGTTTACTGAAAATGATCCCAGTTAATCTAAAATAATTTAATAATATTTTTTCCTTAGATTGTTTTGAGTAACAGCTGTGCTGCTACACTTCGGTTTAAAGGGACATTATGATCTAGATAGGGGATACATTTGCACAGGACAAGATAGGAGGAATAACTTTTTATTTGCCTTAGCTGTAGCCAGAGAAGATAACTGATACAGTTTTTAGGCTTAGAGATCATTATCTAGGGCATGAAGGAGACTGTCTCTCCCAAATATTTATTAATATGTGCTTTCAATATATTTAAAATAGATCTAATGGAAAAAATACAGAGTGAAGATCATGAAAAAGGAAAACACTTTGTATTGGCAAAGCTGATTTTAAACGTGTCATAGGAGGTGCTTTGTATTCTATTCAAACTCCTGCTTGACATGGAAAAGTCTCATTTAAAATGTTTCCTTTATGAACACTGGTGGCTCTGAAGTACAGTCAGTAGCTTCAGCGGTTCATCTGCCCAGTTTGTCAGAACAGCATTGTGCTTCCTGACTGTCTGGCAATTCAGAAAGATGGGCTAGGGCTTGTTTAGAAACTTCAGGGCGATAATTTTGCATACATTGAATGTGAACCTGGTAAGTTTTTTTAATACCAATTTTGCCATAAGTTAGAAGGAAAGAGAAATTTTCAGTGAAGTCATGTATTTCTAGTATACAAACATAACACATGATGTGCTGTGTGCTATAGCTCTTTACCTGCCGTTCTGCCACCTGGATATGAAAACTGATCACAGGAAAAAAAAAAAAGCTGAAAACTAGAAAAACATTTTCTCTCATTCTGCATTTCTGTGTCACTGATAACCTTCACAAAAGCTGCTGCCTGCTCTTCCCTTGAGATAGGCCGCCTGATGGTTTGGGAATTTGGGTAGCAAGGTAAAGGTCTACTTCCCTTTTTTCCTGGATGTGTAAAGTATCATGGTTTTCTTCTTCCTGAGCTTCTTGGGAAAATATTTTATCTTTGACATCCTTCATATATAAAAGGACAACCCAAGTGGAGAGGCTGGTGGAACTGGGAAGATCTCTCCCAAATCTCTTATAGAGCAAACATACGGATTTCTCTGAATTAGAAGCAGAGCAGCGTGTACGTGTCTTGCTGGCTGCTAGCGGGCCTGCCTCTGCTCCGATCAGCAGAAGTAGATATGGTTCTGTGCACGGTCTGTAACATGCTGCTCTCTCTGTCTTCTAAAATGTCAACGGGGTCACATAAGACTATAATATCAGTGAGCAGTTTCAGAAGATCCTGAATTAAAGCCATGCAGGTGTAGTCTCAATTTCTTATAGGGCTGAGTTTTATCAGCGTTTATAGACACAAGATTTTCTGTTTACAGTCGGTTTGCATTGATATACCCATTTCTTTTAACCATGTGAATAGAAGGTTGTTGCAAATATGCTGAAAAAACACACACAAAATGCTTACAGTCAGTAACATACTCTGTTACAGATTTTCTTCCTAGTCTAGCTTGAGACATTTGTATTTATAATTATACAATTCAGTATTTATTTTTAAAGAGTGTTATTCTTGTAACTCCTAACAGAACTACTTAAATGGAGTTACTCCTAACAGTGTTATTTTTTAAAATAATCGGAGAAGAGGCACTTCTTCAAATGTATCTAATTTATTGAATCCAGATAATGAGTGCTTTGAAAAGTTCTGTCCATGTTATTTAGTGCATTAGCAATGCTTGTTGACACTAAGAGCAGGATTTGATCTGCTATTTCTGAGACCAAGAGTTTGATGTTGTTGAAATAAGTGATGCAAGACTTTTCATATGCATGAAATATTCAGATAATCATGCTTCTGTTTCCTTTCTTCTGTTTCCCTTTTTTTTTACCTTCGCTCCTGATGACCTTGTCAGAAGTATTAAATTTTTTCCAATAGAGCACTTGTTTGCTATCACAAAGCTCATGTTATGGAATTCCAGCACTAGCACTACTGAAGGGTTCAGGGTTGGAGGGTTTTTTTTAGTGCTTTGGGTTTTCTTTCTATTTTTTCCAGACTTATCAGTTGTCTGTACATACGGTTGCTACCTTCTCACCTGCCAGCATGGACCAATTATTAAAGGTAACAACACCGTGAGCATGTTGATCTTTAATTTGTGCTCTTTGAGGAATGCACATGGAGGTACTTGGGAATAATTCTTGCCTTTAGCCCAAAATAAATGTCATGTGTAAAACTAGTGGCCCAAGAGTGCTACTATTTCACCTAAAAGATTTAGAGATATTAAACGCTTTCTTTAGTTTCTTATTGGTGGTTTGCTGCTAGTAACAGTTTTGTTTCCATTACATTTGTGAGCAATAATATGTGCAGTCACTGAAGATTGAAGGAATACTTGTACCTTCCACACTATTTGGCATCTACTAATGTGCATGAGAAATTGCTGCATTTCTTACAACTGAACACATCTTGCCAGGTTTAGTATGGTGTAACTATAACTATTTCTTAGGAGATTGGCATACTTGAATGCAATTACATTGAGCAAAGATGATTTCTTTTACTTAATTAAATGCAGTGTGTTGGTATGCCAACGTTGTTGTGTTTCTTGAGTGTTTGCAAGTGTTCTAAATGGTTTTGTTATTTTCAGAAAGTAGCTTTCTTTACAGTACACTTAAGTGTGAATATTTATTAGCATCTATAGTTTACTCTAATTATGTAAAATGTGACAAACCAAATACGCCCAGCATCTTACATTTTATGCAATAGTATTCCATTTTATAATCAGGTCACTTTTCTGTGTATATATATATATGTGTGTGTGTGTATATATATATCATCAGACTAGAACGACGTTTACTTGAATCTTCACTTGTATCATTCTTTGTGTCAGCGTCTGAAGCAAGTTAGCCCCTACTCAAAGATTTTGAGTGGTGCGTCTTAGCAGCGCACATTCCCTGAGATTTCTGCAGTAATTAAAATATTTTGTTGATAGTCCCAGATCTTCTGCTTAGCAATGAGCGCTCTGAAGACGGTTCAGTGAGAAGGGTCCTTTGCAAGTTGAGTTTTGGGGCAGGGGGATTTCATTCTTGCTGTTCTTTTTTCCTTTTTATTTTTCATATGTTCATTCTGAAACAATGACTTGATGAATGTCATTAGGCTGTAATCCGTTTATTCCATGCGGTGGTGGGAACAGAGAACTGGATATTTCATTTGGACTCAGTGAACCAGAGTCACTCTGAGCTGAGCCCCCACTGCCATCGAACTGAGATATTTTCTTCTTGATCATTTTCCTTTCTTTTGCTCTGCGGTTCTGGAACCAAATTTTCACCTACAGTGTTATAAATGATATCTGATTAATTCAAAATAATGGTCAACTTTTTACAATAATAATAGCAGTGAAAATATAGAGATGTTAAAAGAAAAAATCAAAAAAACTCAAAGCAAACCCCAAAACAAAAAACCCATAAAAAACATAAACCCCAAACAAAGCCAAAACAAAAAACCCCAAACACAAAACCCTCAAAGCCCACAAACCAAAATACTGGATTTGTATGCAGAAGATTTTGTTTTATTTACTCTGTATTCATTTTCTGTATCATAATAAATAGAAAATTGATTTTCTTAGACTTGGTGTAAAGTGAACTTGCTGGGTTATATTTAGGAACATAGGAATGAACATACTGATTTAGGCCCAGGGTCCACCTAGTTCATCATCTGAGCTCTGACAGTGGCGTGTGTCAGACTTTAAGAAGATGCAATTATGGAATAATTTTGAAGATTTCTTTATCATCTGTGTTATAGATTATTTCAAACCCGAGTAGTGAGGGTTCTTAATTTATATTGTGAGTTATTTTTATGTATAAATATATTCTTATGTATTTTAAGAGGTTTGGTTCTGTTTGTTACTGGACTGTGTATTTAAATATGTATTTTACAGATACATATGTACCATGTCATGTATGAATAGATATATCCACATAACTTAATTACAGTGAATTTCCCAGGCTAATTGTGCCTTTCTATAGACTCCTATCTGTTTGAAATCTACTGTTAGTTTAATTATCTGTATTTTCTTCCCTTATGTGAAGGTGTAGATGAGTGGAAAACACCATCAATGTTTTCCTTATTCATATTTTTGTGTTCTTAAGTTATAGTTTTTGTGTTATCCTTTAAGGTGTGTTGAATACCGTATGATACAAAAAGTTGTACCTTTGCTTTGTATTAAAAATCTTAATAGTACTTTCTAGTCGTTTGCTGTCTCTGGTAATGAGATAAAGAGCATTTAGCTTTTGTTTGTTGTGAGTCCTGTAGAGATGCAGATATATTATATATTTTGTTTATATTGTACATGGAGAAAAATTACCAGTCGAAAGTGGGATGGCTTTAAGAGCGACAGCTATGTAAAAGGAAACTGCTGATTTTATGCAATATCACTGGTTACTCCAGGCAAGCCCATGTTCCAAATCAGCCAGCTTGCATAACATTAAGGTGGAGGTTTTGAATCTTTCATAACTGCAGTTCTCTGAAAATTTTCCAGGGCAGCTATATCCTGCTGTATAACAAACTTCAGTTCATCAATAATAGACTTGTATTTTGCAATTAATTTCTGGGGCCACTTACAGTCTGCAGAGTGCAATGTCTCTGCTATTTGGGGCTGGGATTGAACGTCACTGCACTAAATAAGTTGATAAAAATCCAGCGCTTGGTTCTGAAATACTGTTGCGTATCTGTGTGTCCTTACACTTCCAGTCTCAGCTGGTCCCTCTCTGTTCCTTGTCCTTGCACAGACTGAATGCAGAAGCAGAGGAGACCACTGAAAGGGGAGAATATTTTAGAGAACTGAATGTATATATTCAGAAAGAATAAAAGTTTGTAAAATTCTTAAAAAAAACCCCCTCTTGTTCGAATTTACCTGAGGGCAATAAATCTGGTTGCTAAGGTCTGAGATGCCATATTCAGTATTGCCAAATCTTCCCTTACCCTCCAAGTGTAGCAGAACCACTGCAATTCTGTTGTGTAAGGAGGACTGGGTTCAGGAGTTACTGTATTTGCAGGCTGCAGAGCTGTGCTTTGTAAGTGTACTTTACAACACAGCAATTTTTAAAAATTCTCTATCCTGTATTCCTCTAGTCTTTGTATGGCTACAGCTAAGATACCTTGGTCCCTGCTCAGGAGCCTCTTTATTCAGGAGCTTAAATATGTACTTGATAGGAATGAAGGCAGAGTTGCTTTGCAAAGAAGCAATGGATCTAAGTATGCACTTAAAAATTTCCTAAATGGATAGTCTTGACTACATATACGTGTATAATAAGCATAAAAAACAGTCACCAAATTTTATACAATCCTGTATGTGCTGTGTGTGAACTCGTACTATAGGTGAAGTACCTGTGAAAAAAGAGATTCTGGCTTGGACATCAAAGGTTGCAAAAACTCCCTAAAATGTGCTGAAATCTGACTGAGGAGGAATGTGGCTTGTGGAAATAGCGATAATAAATTAGTAACAAAAATACATAGGTGTGTCATCCCATTGCTCTTTGAATAGTAAGCTTTTGTTCTTCTGGCTTACAGCTGAAATATATCCCATCTTTGGATGTTTTCTGGCCACTGTTTTGTGTGATTGCAGGAAGAAATAAACTATAAATAACTATAGAGAACATAGCTAAGCTAATGTTAAGCTGAGCTGTTTGAATTCTTGCTGTCTAGCAAGCTGCTATGCATGTAAGAATAAGTACTTTTCCTAGTACAAATGAATTCCTAATGTTTAGCTACCTGTGATCAGTGATTTCTCTCAAGTTAGCCTATCTGTTAATCTGGATTTGTACCGTGTGTTCTCTTTGTGTCAAATACACTCGGAAACTCTCACGGTTGGCTCTGCACTGCTGTTGGACAGAGAATGTGCGCGCTGTGTGGCTCAGCTCCCCTGGCAGTAGCGGTGTCAGGTCAGTGGGTGCGCACGAATGACGGATAGGCTCTGTGTACCTGTCTTTCAGATAGTCCCAGGTTTGCTGCAAGTTCTGACTTTCTCCTTATTGTAATATATCTGTTGCAGTGAAATTCCTTCTCTAATTCTAGTCTCTGGTGGTCTGTGTAAACAACTCTGTACTTTTCTTTTGTTCTTGTTTTACCTGTTTAAGAAAGAAATATTATTAATATGTTGAATTTGATTTTCTGTAGCATCTTTCTTTCAAACATCAAACACTTCACAGACATTAGTTGAGCTAGAGTGCTCGTATGGGGTTGTTTTCAGTGTTCCAGAGAAGGAATAGGAGGTGCAGGGTGAATAAGTGAGTGAGTATTGGTTATCATAACTGTCTTTTCTCTTTATCTCCCTCTCTGTAGACATACATTTAAATGTAAAGCTCTCAAGTGAAGAACACCCTGAAGCATCTTAAATAATTCATAGCAGTACGTAATTGGTGCTGGCTATATTTGATCTCAAAGGGGCTGCATGTCAGTGCTCACTGAAGTCACTTCGGAGTATATGCGGGCATAAATACACAGGATTTCAAGTTCAGTCACAGTTTGTTTCGTTGTAGCACGTCCTACTTCTTTGAGTTTTTAAAGATCACCTCTAACACAAATAGGTGTCCTACTAGAAATGCTTTTGCCTTTTTGTGTGGCCACAGGACGCGTGTTTAAGTTCAATAATAATTTGAATTTGTTTTTTCAAAAAGGTCCAGTCTCGAAACATGCTGAGTGCCTGTAGAGGTATTACTGGGGATGCTCTGTGTGCTGAGCTTCCCTTTCCAGTTGAAGGCATCTGACAATTTGTAAGCTGATGCAATAAAATCCTTGTGAAAGGATTTTGGTATCATCCTCTAATGTATAAAAGAAGTACACTTAGATATATTGGATAAATACTGTTAAAAGAAGTGTTACATGATGTTTAGAAGATATCTCTCATTTCATAGAATTTTTAAACAATTCTTCATGTAATAATTTTACAGAGAGATCACTTTTCGACTTATTTGTTCTCCTTTGCACTTTCAACAGCCAACTAGATAGCTTTCCTTTTTCTTCTGATCTTCCCAGGTTTTTTTTGATGTGAGTTTTCTGGGACAAACTGTAGGACAAAGACTCCTTTAAAGTGGTTCCCTAAAATCCATTGAGGTGTTAAGATGAAGCACACGCCACACAAAGGAGCGACAAGAAGATCTTATCAAGAACCCCTTTCACATTCAGAAACACAAACCAATTGGTTTGGAATTTACAAGCCCTAAACAAATGTCAGACTCTTTCATCTTAGCAGAGGGAAGAAGGACAGAAATAGATGAAGGAATATTTTTTCCTCAGTTCTCTTTAGTTTTGGACCGACTCTGAGGATAGACTGTGATATTTTTATCTGATGGCTAGAGGTAGGCATAGCTGAAGATGTTTTGAAATATGCATAATTAAGGATGTTTTCCCAAATCCAATGCCACTTTGACTTCTAGTAGACAAGGCTTTCCTGCCTGAGTTTGCAGGACTAAAGCAATCATCAAACTAAGTTTACTTTTTTCAAGGTACAAGTTGTTGGCTCTGAAATATTTGCTCTAAGTGATAGTTGTAATGTTAACAATAGTACAGATATTCAGGTTCCTTGTAAACTGAAGGCTTAGAAGGTAATCTTCGAAAACAAGTTAAAATTCAACAGGGTTATTCCGGCTTTACTATAATCAGCAAATATAACCATGATTTGAGGGGGTGGAGAAAAGGAGTAGTTTTCCCCATTCCCCTTGGTCATAAAATTCACAGAGCATTTCTTCTGAAGACAATAAAGCTGGGAGAAGGCCTCTTTATTTGCTGTGAAAATCATCACCCTTTCCGGCAATATAACTCCTGAAGAAAAGAGGGAGAAGGAAGAGACAAGACTGCATATCAAAGCAAAGTGAAGTGTTAAAAGGGTCTGTTGCCTCAATATGACAGATAGGCCTCAAAACCTCAGACTGTGTAGGCCAGTGGAAAATAGATGTCACAGCCAGTTTACAAAGCAAAATATATTAGCATTAGAGCAGAGGCCTGGCCTTTTTTCCAGCTTCTCTATTTTGCTTTCTGGCTGTGTTTCTGCTGTGATGTAATCTGAATTACTTGTTCATCACTGCTTGTTTAAACAAAGACATAAAATGTCTTGACTATAGGTAAAAAAAAAAAAAAGCTGAGGCTGATCATGCCAAATATAAAAATAACGTCCTTTTGTTCAGTCTCATTAAAGTCCATTCTCTTTCTGAGAAGGGTCACTCCCAGACAAAGTTTCGAAAGATAAAAATTCTGTTTTCTAGGCCCTTGTTTAGGCACCTTCTTTTCAGTAAGTTTCATACTTCGAAGGCTCACTGGCTCTCACAAAATACACATCTTACACTGTTGATTAGACAGGTTTTTAGAAATTAATTGGTCTGAAGTTCTGATCTTATGTAACTGAAGCTGATAGGGGATTTTGTAATTGATTTTAGTAAGAATAGACTCAAGCTGTAAGGAATTCTGTAGATGTTCTTTTTCTAATTTTGACAGTCCATCTGGGAAGATATCTTCACCAAGTCCACTGTTGATATTTGTCTTTTAAAATTTCGTATTGCTTCTTATGATTGCAACATCTGTGTATTTGAAATAAAAAAGGTTTGGTTCTGAATATACAGTAACGGTCTTTTAGTAAGAGGATATATAATTTCAATTCAAATTTTACCTATTGAAACGACCTAGTACTTCTGCCTTCATGATGTTGTTTCATCCTGAGAATTGACTTAGGTAGATTTTCATTTCACTTTTCCTGCAATTTAACTTTTTCTATAAAATGCTAATGTGAATATTGAATCAGAATGTAGTGTATTTAATAGAGTCTAAATAGATGGGGGAAAAAAATCCCTCCACAAAAATAATTCCAGCTGTCTTTAGGACAGTATTTCAGTAGGCTCCTTCGTTTGTAGATGTCGTTTGATTTCTGTTACCCCGTGCTGCTCACAGGCATTGATGTGAGTACGTGCCTCTAGTGAAGTTAAGGACATACACACATATATGTATACAAATATATTTGTAAAGTTTGAGGCTGTAGTCCTGAAATTATAGGGCAATGAACTGTATAAAGCAGGTAATGTTGAAGGGGAGGAACCAGTAGCTACTTTGATAGCAACAATATCATGGCCGTAAGGAAAAACAGAGAGAGTTTGCTTCAAGGAGTGGTTATATAATGGCATCAAGTAAGTTTCCTTGTGTTATCTCCTAGACAAAGCACTCATAAGTTACTATGTAGTCATTACATTCATAAATTTAGCTTTGTCATCATTTGTTTGTGTTTTCTCTCATTTTTCACAACTTTTTATGTCTTGATACTGAAATTTCCTGATATTTACAGTTAACATTTTAAAAACACCAATGAAAAACTAAGTCAATTTGGTACTTTTTGTGTTTTGCAAAATACCCCGTTTGTGCTTTAGTCTCCCAAACCCTTTTTATAAGCTGGGTTGGTGTCTTGAGCCCGATTCTGTGAAGTTCTGTACTGTTTTTAACACTTCAAAGGACGAGGCTCTAGGAATGTACAGCCTTAGGACATGTATCCATTGACAGGCCAGTCTCACCTGTCCCGTGTTGTTCATGAAGTATTTCACCATGTGGGCAAATTCTGTCTAAGTGCTTTTCAGACTAGAGAACTGCTTCTCTGATTGCATATCTATTTTATGAAGTTAAGCAAGCATGTGAGAAACCTGTCATGGTCTTCCATGTTTGTGCAGTAAGTGTAGAACTAGGATTTAGATTTTTTTAAGTCTGCTTTATTCTTTATTCAGTGGCAACGTGACTGAGACAAGGTTGCCTCAGCCATTCAGTAGTCTCAGTTGAATTTGGTCCATACTCAAGTCTTGCATCACTTCTACACCTGGAGATCTCTGCTGACGTTAATGAAGTTACTGCTGATTTACATGAGTATACATAAGGGGGGAAGACCAGACTGTAAATCTGCCGTGCTTTGAAGACTTTTGCAGAAGCTCCAAAGGGAAGGATGGTATTGTAGGCATTTTCTGTTTAGTAACAGTGAGAAAATGCGGTGTATCTGCTTTATAACTGAGAAACAGTTACAAGACTCATTTTGCTCTGGAGTAATAACCATATGAAGGAGGACTGTGTCTCAAGCAGCAGCGCCGTTTTCTGTGTCTTCTAACATTGCTCCAGTTGCAATACTCTTTCTTTAGAGCGTTTTCTTTGATGCTTTCTCACACACATACTACTTTAAACCTTAACAATAGATTTAGCAAACCATGATACACCCAATTTACACCTTGGGAATATACACTGAAAGGTTCAGCTGGCATGCAGCTTGTAACAAAAACAGGCACATCAACAAGTGACATTTGCAAGAAAGTGATTTTTAATTGTGGCAAGCTGTAAAATTCTGGTATGTGAGAAAAATATGTAAAACTGCTTTGAAACTCAATGAAAAGGAAGCTTAACTGATTGAGATATGTAGCCTGCAAACAAAATAGTCTACACTGATCATTGGAGTAAGGTTACTTCTCTAGAGAGTATTTCTCACTAAATAAATACAGGCAAAAAATAAAAGACACAGGAACAACAGCAGAAAATTGCATAATCGCTACAGTTGGATCAGAGCACATAATTTTCTTTAAAAGTACTAGAAAGTGTAAAGATTTGAAAAGATCAACTTGACTTTATATTGATCTTTACCTTGCAGCACAAAATCATTACATAGTATTTTCCTGTAACTATTTAATGTTGCCTCATTCATAGTTCTATAACATTCTCAGAAGTATCATGATTTTCATCCAAAAAGCATTACAGAATGTTAGAACAAAGGTTCTTGGACTTGGAGTGAGATCCAGCTGTATCTAAACACAACAGCCGTTTCACTATAGTAATCCTATAAAGCCTTTATGAGATGAAAGTGAAACTAGTGCAAATTTAGTTAAAACTGCATTAAACAGCAGTGGGTTAAATAAATGTCATAAATGACCCACCAACCTATGTGCTTTAGGTAAAGTTAATTATTTATAAGATCAGTGATAGCAGAAGATGCTTTCTCAAGTTGGAAGTTGAATATACACTTACCAGCAGTGTTGGTTTGCACCGTTTTCCTCACCCACTCGTAAGAGCTGTGCCTTTGGCTGGTGGGTGAGATCTGCTGTGAACTGACTGTATCTACAGGAGGTAACCCTGCGGATCCCGCGGGATGGAGGGAGCTGTAATCAGCAGAGCTGTAGGAGACCTGTCCAGGAGAGGAGCCGTTGATCTGTGCAGCAGCCACCGTGCTGGAAGGTCCTGGGCCGTAGGCGTTCCAGTCATCCCGCTGTGGGCCGTAGTGCGATCCCCAGGTCCCCGCCGGCTGTCCGTGGGTGTCCAGACCTGGCACATGATGATATCCCATGTAATCTGGATAGGGTGGAGTAGACACAAAGTTTTGCACGGGCAGGTTGTTGCTGCTGCACCTTGCAGATCCTGGATACATGCTGGTCTCTTTATCCAAGAGAGGGCTCACGTACATGATTGTCACAGACTTGTCACAACATCTTGTTCTTCCGTATTTTCTTTTGCTGTGTAAAAATAATTATATTTGGTTTTCTCTAATAATGCCACTCTGCTTAGAATCTTCTACTTCATCCTCTTTCATTAACAACTGTGTTACCAGGTGCTGGTGGTAATGGTTTACCAAGATCTTGTCTGACGTCAGCCTAACTGCCTGCCTCATAATGACATTTACATTCAAATGAAGGGTTGACCAACCCCACCTTTCTGCTAGTTCTGGTGCTTTCTCTTTCAGAGAACTTTTATCTGTCCTGTTACCCTTCCCTGATATTCAACAGCCATTCCAGTACTGTAAGATGATGCAACAGTAGCTTGTATTTGTAGCCTAGTAAATAGACCTTTTTTTAAGAAAAGAAAGGGGTAACTGTAACAGTAGTGTTTGGTGTTCAGATGAGTCTTGTCTGAAACCTTTATTTTGTGATGTGTTATTAATCAACAAGTGAAACTGTTACTCTCTTAATTTCTTAGACACTTGAAAAATAATCTCACTTTTACTTCTAAAATTAAGGGACGCAGTCAATTTGAATAATTTTAAGTCAGTAACTTCAGAATACAGAGTGCCTTGTAAACAGCATGTCTTAAATATAGCTCTCAAAATTTTTCCCCTCATTATTGTTTTCAAGTGGTTTTCCAGCATGAGAGAAACGAAAGCTTTAACTGCAAAGCATGTGTTCAAGCTCTCCCCATGCAGAACGATATAAAGAGATCCCGTCATCTGGTAGCCATTGTAAACTGATAAATTTTAAAAAGCAGACAATAAATCTTCCTAACAAAGATCGTGCCAGAAGTACAAAGAAAATGACTGTAAGAAGTAGTGAAAAAAGTGTTTGATTAGGCCCAGTGATATTACTGGTTTCTGTCTCATCTGCCTGAAAGGCTGGGTTCCTTCCTCGGAAACTGCCGTGTAGCAGCCTGGTTTCGGAGGTAAGGGGAATCAGCAGGGAGAAAAATCTGGGTTATCGAGTTAGTGGGTGAGAACTGTCCTGATGCTTTTCTGTAAAGCGGCTGGCACATGGCTACTACGTAGGTCAGTGGAAGTGTTCCCACTGAGAAAAATTATTCTGAAGGTGGTTCTGTATGTTGCTGTTAAGAGCTTGATATTAACATGGGAGAACTAAACTGTACCTCATGACTTGAGAATTGCCTCTCTATGGTTGTCCAGCTCTGATTTGTAGACTGAATTTGGTATGTTTTGGTCTTGGATGGATTTCTTTGCAATGAGCTATTTGTCAAGTGGTATGCTTGCAAAAGAGGTGCAAATTACAGTGAGTTGTTTCCCTTTACAAAGGTGTGTTTTTTCATTCTGTATCCTTTGTATTTTGACGCTACTAGTATTCACACATCCCTTCTAATTCTAGCACTAAAGGATTCTAAGTGTGTACTTAAAGACAGGAAAGATGCTCCTGTTTTGGTTGGTGGTTGGTTTTCTTTCAGGAAAGCATTTTTACTGAGAACTGTAGCAAAATCTTTATAATTTGTTTTGCTATGTGATCCTGAGAATATAGAGTTGTGTCATGGGATAGGACATGGAAAAAGTAAGAGCTTCTGGAATTGGTGTACTCTTATAAAAACAGACATTAAAAAATTAGAAAACAACTTTTGTTCCCTTCATCTGGAAAGAAAAGGAATTCTAGTAGAATTTTTGAGAGCCCACAGACTTTTTAGTACAAATGTACTCAAAAGAACAAAGAACTCGACTGAGCATCATCCAAATTAAACAAGATTCGTTTGCTATACTGGAAGGATCCTTGGAATCCTTGGCTTATTTGTGAGCATTCTGCCAGCAGTTAAATTCCGATGTGTTGCTAAATGTTATGCAGAGCTGCCAGTCATAGGTGATCTGTGGGAGGGTGAAGTTTTGTCTCCATTGATTGTATCTGAAATCTGTGGACCCAGTGAAATGAACATTGGTTGCTCATAGATTTCGGATCAGACATGTTGTTTAACTTCTGCCCTTAAGCACACCACTCGCATGTCTTGGTGAATGACAGATAATTTCACAGCAGGCATTAAATGATGGTAGCATTTTTAATCCCTGGTCATCTTTCCTTATGGGATGCCTCTGCACGTACCCCCCACAATTTCAGTATTGCCTAATCCTATTTTTTGTATCTCAGAGCTTTATCCTTTATTCTCTGTTCTTCTTTTATCTTTTGTTTATGCTTCTCCTTTCCCTTTCTTGTTTTGCCTGTTCCATTATCTGAATTTTCTTCAGATCTATTTCGATTCTTTCCAGAACGTAATTAGATCAAGATAGGCCGATGGCACATCACTACGCTGATTTGATATCAGCTAACAATAGTAAACTTTGAATAAGGCATTTTGTTTAAAAAGATTTGCATAGCAGGATAAGATTGCTGGGTAGGACTGAAGATTTTTAACACCAAAGTGAGAATAAGATAACTCAAAAGGCAACATTAAGATGATCTTCTGCACCCTGACTTTTATGCTTCCCATTTTGTATAAGAGAACCGTGTGGATGTATTAAAAAGGCGCTGTACCTTTGCACGTAGTCTAGTAGTTTGAGGCTACCAAAAATTTAGGACTGATGGTTTTCGAGAGCTAAATGACTGTTAATCCAAGCCTGCCTTCCCAAGAGGCATTTCTTGGCCATACACGTCCTTCCTGCTCAGATCCACTATGTCCATAGCTTCAGAGCCACAGGACTGCATCTTCAGTGTAAAGCAGTAACTTCCACTGTAGTGCCAGGAACACTTCTAGCGGGCATTGCTGTCAGGAAAAAGCAAGTAAAAAAGAAGGGGAAAAAAAATTCGAACTGCCCTTGCCTTGTCCGTATTTACCCCACGAGGGGATGGCAGTGAGTTGCTGGTGGTAGGGGAGGTGTTAATGTGCTGCCCACGTCTGCGTGAAGTGCTTGCAGAACTGTCGCGTTACCTTGGGCCCTCACCTGACGTCCTGGGGTGGTGGGACTACAAAAGCAGTTCTGAGGCGGTGGGCTTGACTTTCAGAAATCTCATCCATAGGGAGGTTTGTACTAATCCTGTTTTTCTGTGGTGGATGATAAAGGCAGAAGAGAAAAGATCTCTGCAGTACCGGCAGCAAGAGTGCTGTGCTCTTTGGCGTACTTCAAGGAGATGGCTTGCCAGAATAGCTGAACTCCAAGGTTATAATTTTCCTTTATTTCCTCCAGCTGTTAAAATGCTAGGTATAATTTATCTACTTGGCCAGTGTCTGCAGGACTTGTCTCAGTGTTTGTTGAAGTTGTATGTGTGTAAAATTGAATGCACTTTTCTTTGAGGAAGAAAATTTTCTAGTTTTCTAACAGGTGGTTGGTGAAAATCTAGCAATGATGACAAGCGTGGTGATAACCATTGGAACTGTTAAGGTTTTGTTTGTACAGGCAATGCAGGTGATATACTATGGTGTATGTGCTGTTCTAAAGAGCATTTCCAACCTGGGTAATAATACTCCTCTAATCACAAACGTGGAATTAAATGTTTTAATGACAGCTATTACAACTGCAATTTCAGGGACTACTGGTAGATTAAAACTGGCCCATATAACAATAACTTATATTAAAGGTGTTAATATGTGTGATAGTTTTTATCTGGAACCATTACTCGTAAAGGTACTCTTATATGGAAAGAAGAAGAGACCTGTCCATCTTTGACGCTTCAAAAATTATATGAAATCTATCTAGGGTTCTGAGGCGAAAAAAGCACGTGAGCTTGGCGTATCCCGCTCTGGCCAAGGTGATAGGAATAGATGCCTCCAGTTGACCCCTCTAATAACACATCAGTAACATCAGGCTTAGGAATGCTTCTTGCCCATACCTTTATAACTGCAGGCTTGGAATTTCCGTGGAATTTCTAGCTAAGGACTTTGTTAGTCAAATGTGTATTGCTGATAGTTTTAATGTGGTATTTTGGAGGTGTTACTGACCTTATTGAAGCTGGGCTTTGCACGCACACACATTCCTCCTAAAATTGTTAGTCAGCTGTACAAATCTTGAGGAAAGGTCAATCCGTCCATGCTTTGCTGTCAGCTGAGGTCAGTTTTGTTGGAAAAAAAATTAAAGTCATGAAGGCAGGCAGGTGGTTCCAAAATTTTGAAACACAGCTAAAGAGACTGCCCTTGCTTTCACTGCAGCTTCTACAAACACGAAGCTTCTGAAAATTTTATTTCCCCTTTTCAATTGGGCTGGTTTAATATGCAACATCCTGGTTAGGTTTGATTTTCAGGGCTTGAAATTCAAGCACATGCCAAGTTGTATGCCCGTATTAACAAATGTGGCACAGCCTAGAGAGTTGAACAAGCAATGCTGCCTGAGCTCTCTTCCCTTGCTGGTCTGAGCTCTTCTGGGGGAAAAAAAAGGGTGTATTGCAGGTTTCAGTTCTGGACTGTGTGTCTGTTTCATCCCTAACCTGTATTTCTTCTTCATAAGAGTTCAATAGTAAAAATAAAAATGTCTGTTATCCATGAAGCCTTTTTCAATGGTTTAATTTCTAATTCCATGCTCTGAAATTTTGATTGTTATCAAATCCTTCTGGAAAATTATGAAAAGTGACTTATTTGGCGCATGGTAATTGCATTTACCCTTCTATCTGTTCCACTCCTGTTTTTCTTACTGCTACTAACAGTGACTTATCTTTCATTTCTTAATGTTAACTTTTGCAGTTTATTAAAAGTAGTGGCAATGTATTTCCTGTGTGATGTACATCGGTGTTGTGTTTGCCAGGAAAGAATGAGGAGGATCTTATTGTTCGGAAATTTAAATAATTTAAAATCTGCTGCAAAATCAATACTGGCAGTAATGAGAGTATGTCTTACTGCTCAACCAGCAGACTTAATACAGCACATTTAATATCGTGTGTGAACTGCAGGTCAAATTGATTCTTTTTAGCAGAACCATGGAAAAGAACCGCAAATCCTCTATTGATACTTATTTGGTTTCATTTCTGAGCAATGTAGTGTAGGGATTTCACTTACTGTCACTAATTCACGCTGACCAGCGGGGCTGGATGGGGTTGCTGGGGGCTCACTGTTGAGT